TATAAGAAATATATATATATATATATATATTATTTTTCTTTTCTTACTTTATGTTTAAGATTGAGAAACATAGTTGCAGAAGATACACAACTTTTCGATAGGAATAAAAAAGTCTCAAGAGAGTGAAACAAAGAGAGACTCCATCGGCTAAGATCAATTCTCGTCAATAAGGGAAGCTCGTAGAAACATGAAATCGCAAATGCGAGTGCCACTATCACTGCATTTCCAAGACGCTATGTACAACAACACAACACAAGTACTACTTCGCTACTACGAAAGGCGATAGATCCATACAAATGAACCACAGAATACGCACTCCGTTTCTCCTCCCTCCGATTCGTTCCGCTTTATTGAACTCGAAAAACGCGTTCCGTAATTTACTATGTACAGAGCAGGCGAGCGGAGCGCCGCCGCGATCAGACGGCGGCGATCTCCGCCGGATCCTCGAAGTTAGGGTCCCTGGCGTCCACAGCACCGTGCTCCATCTCGACGCTGTCGTAGCCGTGGCCGATCCACGTGAACTTCCCTCCGTGGCCTCCCTTCTTCGGCGATCCGCTGATTCCCGTGGCCGACTTCCGGTCCTTCCGCGTCTCCGGCGACGCCTTTCCGCTCGCCTTGTGGCTCTTTCCGGCGTCCTTCATGCTTCCTCCGAGAAAAGTGTTTGTGACTCGTAAACCTGGCGCTTGGGGGGTTTGTATATAAAGGAGGTGAGGGCAATTCCGGCATTTCACTCTAACAATTTTTAACTATTTTTTGTGCCTGCAATATTAATTGCATTGAATCTAATAATCTATGGGTGCGTGCGTGTTGGATTGCGATTGGGAAGTTGCAATCGGATAAGAACGGTGGGGGCAGCTTCTGTGCGGTAAGGTGCAGCTAAGATTATGGTGGCAAACTGCGATTCGTATAGTTAGTTAGCCCATTGGGCCGGCCCATAACACTAGCGCTGCTGTCATGATGAGATGATTTGAAACAACACACTTTGCGTCGAATGTGTTTGGCCCAGTCGAGAAAACGAGCGCATAGGTATTATCATTTAAGAAACGCTTAAATATAATTTTACTTTCTTAAATTTGATAAATTTATTTGTTACTAAAATGTATTTTTAGTTTTCTATTTTTTTTAATCCTCTTTACTTTAAAATAAAGATATTTAATTATTCTATTTTTAAAATTGAGAAATTTTGGTCTTGTTATGAATTTAATATTTATTGAGAGTTAAATTGTGATGTTTTAATAATCCGTCACCATTTAAATATTTAATGACATAAGAGATGTAAATTAAAAAATATTATTCAAAAAATCTTTGTTTATATTTATTATAACAACTTATTAATATTTATTTTATTCATGAATTTTATTTACATGTTTTTTTTATCTTTAAATGTAATATTATTAAATGTCACCTCACTAAAGTACAAAAATATGAGTCAAATTGAAGGAAGAACCATAATTATATATTTTTAAAATTAGAAAAAATAAATATTTCTATTTTAAAACATAAGAACTAAAATTGTGAATTGACAAAATAGAGAGACAAAAATTATAATTTAGTCTTTAATTTTAATATCTTAAATTTCAAATTAATTCTTTTAACACCTATAATTATTTTAAAAGAATGTCTTACTTCCTTGGAACTAACAAATTAAATCATTTATGTAATATCATTTGTATTTAATATAAATTTTTTCCACTAACAAAAACATAAATAAATGAATCTTGTTTCACAAATTTATTAACAATATTTAAATAGAAACAAATAATTTTTAAAAAAAACATAAACTAAATATAATTAATTTAAATTTAATAAAGTATAAATAAATTTTCGAGATAGTATGTTTAAACCTTACAAAATAGAGTGATTAGAGTTGTAAGGAGAAGAATCCAACACATCATGTAAATTAACTTAAATCAACTAAATAAAGGTTGGTTTGATAATCAATCACATAAAAATGGTCTGTTCAGTGGTGTGGCCCACCGGCTATCTTCAGCGGGGACGAGCACACAGCACACACTAAAATGCTAAAACTATAACAATGGTAACGGTGGCGTTTGGGAAGAGTGGAACTTCAAAAAAGAAGAAGAAAAACAATGTTAGGGTTAGGTTGCTTAAACCTCAATCGATTCTCCCACTTTCCTTCCTCTCCCTCTCTTCCACCCTCCGGTTCCGGTCAGCTAAACCTTCCTCTCTCTCTCTCTCTCTCCAATGTTACCAGCACTGTTTCAACGCTTTAACTCAATTCACTAACACGACGTCGTTTGATTGTAGACAGATTTACTCAAAGTCGCGTCTCGGAGATTCGCTTTATCAGTGGCCAAGACGCAACAATCTCCGGTCACTAAGACACAATCCACGTCCACCGCTCTAATTGTGAGTTCATTAATATTTCATTTCATTTTTTGTTTGTTTGTGATTATATATTAAAATGGTGTTGTGCTGTTGTGTCTGGAATTGATATAGGAAATAGATAACCCGGCCAGTGTGAAGAGACAATTGGCGCAGCTATTTGATTTGTCTCTGAGGGCAACCGTGCCTGATGAGTCGGATGTTGTGCCGTTAGTTGATGCTTGCGCCGTGAAAGGCGGCGTAAAATTTGGTGATTATCAATGGTTTGTTATCTACTTGTTGCATATATGTGAACTGTGAAGTGAATTTGTGGTTTTAATTGGGTTGTGCATTGGCGGAAACTGATACTTTATTTTGTTTATGTGCAAACTGAAACAAAGAATATTCACTTGTTGTAGTAATAATGCAATGGGTATATGGTCTAAGATGAAAGGAATGCAGACAGGATTTAGGGGTCCCCCGGCAATTGGGCAGGTATGATCAGAGATAATTAAATTAAGGATAAAACTTACATGCAGAACTATAGGTATTGTTGGTACTATTCTACGATCAGAATTGGAGTTTCATCTCAGTAACATGATAAATGATTCGCTAAATGTCAACGCGTATTACCAAAATAAAACTCTAACTTTGGTTGGAGAGCAATACTAATTGTACCTATGCTACTGTATCCAAGTTTTGTTCTTAAATTAACTCAGTCTTTTGGCATTTCCCCCTGAGCTATGTTGTTTTTGGCACCTCTTTTACTTATTATTGACTGGGAATTAGATTTTGGTTCGTCGGTGTTAAATGATCATCTGTATGATGTTTTTTGTATGTGTAGGCCATTGTTAACAATCTCCCTCCATCTGAAATGATTGATTCGTGCTCTGTAGCTGGTCCTGGATTTGTCAATGTTGTATTATCAAAGAAGTGGATAGCACAGGTGATAGCATTTTTATCTTTTAATTTAAAATTAGAAATAGTGTGAACCTAGTGTCTAAGTCCTTTTATTTATTTATTTATAGGTGGGGCTGGGGCTGGGGGTGGGAGTGGGATCTGAGTCATAGTGTCCATTGATTGGAAGGGATTATATATGAGAAAGTTAAGGTTTTCAATTTGTTTGGATGATTGAGCTTATTAAGACATATGTTAGTACTTAAGAGCAAGAGAATTCCTACTGCAGAGCTTACATAGGATGCTAATTGATGGTATTGATTCATGGGCACCTCGACTTCCGGTCAAGAGGGCTTTGATTGATTTTTCCTCACCTAATATAGCGAAGGAAATGCATGTTGGCCACCTGAGATCTACCATTATTGGGGATACAGTAGCTCGTATGCTCGAATTTTCACACGTGGAATGTGTAATCCGTAGAAATCATGTTGGTGACTGGGGAACACAGGTATAATTTACTTCTAACATTGCGCTATTTTATGTTGAGTTTGAAAATAGTGTATGTTTAATCTGATGATAAATGATCATGCCATTTCTTGTGACTACATCTTTTAGCTATACACTGTTAAAGCTAGGTTTCTTCATATAAGGCACAACTGTGGGTAATTTGTTTGCAACAACCATTTAACTAGACAACCTTATGCACATTAGCATTATTGGGTGACTGGAGATTTATGTTTGAGAAAATGGCTGATATAAGTTGCTTTTCTAATTGTCTTCATGACCAAGAACGTTTGCCTCTTAATGTGACTTCTATGTTATTCTTCTTTGTTGTGTAAACTTAAAAAATTTGATGTCCTAAGATGCTGCTCCCCTCCTTCCCAATAAGGAAAATACTTTAGATATTACATTATTTCAATTACTCATTAAATTGGTGATGAAAATTTATTTCTTATGACATATTTGCTTGAATGACAAACATTCCATTATGAGCGTTCTCATTTCAATATTGGTAATATAAAGCTCAAAGTTCATGCATTTGTTTTGTAGTTTGGGATGCTGATTGCATACCTCTTTGAAAAATTCCCTAACCCAGATGATGTTAGTGTAGCAGACATTGGAGATCTTCAGGTGAGAAAAAATATTAAAATCAATTTCAATTCCAATTATTCTTATTTAGGTGTTTAATCATATATTTTGTCGTTATTTCTTCATTCAGATATGACAGACATTGTTTTTAATTCATTTGCTGTATGTTCATTTAATTTGTAATTAAATTGATTTCATTGTGGAAGTGAAAACCAAGCATTCAAAGTTGTCTATAAATTAATTTCCTATAAATGCCATTAAACCTAGCTAGGAAATATAAATTGCTATTTTCCTTTGACAAATGGCCAAAAGTTGTAGCAATTGATTTTCTCCGCACATAGTGCTGCAAATAGTTGTTTTATGCTTTGTTTGTAAATAAACTCTGGACACAACAGATTTTCTGTCAGTTCAATTATACTGTTGTTACTTTTTTTTTAAAAAATTTTTTTAGAAAGATGAAATAAATGGGAAGCTAGAGATGTGGATGCAACCTACAAGCTTCAGAAGCACAGCCTTTTTTTAAGTAGAAGTGAAAAGTGTATGTCAAATGTAAGTTTAGTAGGAGACACACTTAAAGGTCACAGTATATCACATGCCACGCAATTTTAGTATCTTGGCTCGTCAACAAAATGACTAGAACATAGAAGATGTGAACCATAGGATTCAAGTGGGGTGGGTGGAAGGGAGAAGTGTTTAGGGTGTTGCTTGTGATTAAAAGTACCACTCAAGCGTTTGCAAAAAAATTTACCACTTAGTTAAAAGACACAATGTTGTAATAAGTAGCCCTCGAGAAAATAAGCTCAATATTGCACGAATGAGAATGTTATGAACTTAAGATGGATTAGTGGTTTCACAATTCAAGATAGAATTAGGAATGTATGCATTAAAGAGAAAGTTGGGGTAACATGTATTGTGGAAAAGATTGTAGAATCTCACCTAGGTAGTTTAATTTGAGCATGTGTGGAGAAGAACTATATAAGCTCTTGTAAGGGACATAGATCAAATGGAGGGATGTTCAATAGTTAGAGGTAGAAGTGACCAAAAAAAAGTATTTATTAAGAAGGATTTAGATTTAAGGAGTGGGAAAAAATACTTTTCTTTTTTCTTTTGTTGTTCAGTAGAAAGAAATTAGGGAGTGAAGCTAGAAATAATTATTTGGGTTATGTTTAGTTATGAAATTGCTCTGTCAATTTGTATAAATGATCCATCAACCTTGAAATGGCAAATTTTACAGGTTGAGGGATAATGATGTCATTAATTGTCACTTAGTTTCTCATTATGGTGATGATGATTGATAAAGCATTTGTTTTTTACTGAAAAATTTATTTATTAATCTCATTTCACTTGGTGCATTCTTAGGCATTCTATAAGGCCTCAAAACTGAGGTTTGATAGTGATCCTGAATTTAAGCTGAGGGCACAACAGGCAGTGGTCCGGCTCCAGGTAAAATATATGTTAAGATATTTTTTTCTTCTTTTTGTCCTGCTATTTGTGAGATCTTGGGGAACTAGGTTAAATTTTTTTTTTAAATTTTGATTTCAGAGTGGAGAAACCATGTATCGCAAGGCATGGAAACAAATTTGTGATGTTAGTAGGGCTGAATTTGATAAAGTTTATCAACGCCTTGGAGTTCAATTGGAGGAAAAGGTAAGGGTTATAGTTTCCTTTTTTCCTGGCTCTTTGGAGTTGAAGTGTTGAACCATGGTGTCTATTCTTTTGTATCTTCCAGGAGGAATCGCTAAGGGTTCCTTTCAATGCATTGTTAGACCACTAAGAATTCTATAAAAAAAAATGCATGCTTAATATTTACCAACTCTTGCAGTTCTTGTGCTTTTTATTTGATTTACATTGTAGCTTAGAATTTGTCTTTAAACCATATCTGCCATAATCTATTTGTCTAGTAATTTTTTGTTTTGTTTTGTTCCATTATGACCAAAAGTTGGATTGGTTTGCTCAAATAGCCTTAGGAACCTTCATATTTTCTCTTTAGCAACTTTGATTTTTGGTTGGAATTATATTCTCAACTAAGATTATTATAAGGATTTTTGTATGAAACCTCTGTATGCTGGATGATTTCCATGCTTTAGAACTTTCGGTGATAATTATTAATATTGCAGATGAAAGGGCTTGTTTTCTAGTTGACTTTCTTATATATAATTATGTGCATACAGTTTATGTTTTCAACTAAGATTATTATAAGGATTTTTTGTATGAAACATGACTCCTCTGTATGCTGGATGATTGCCAGGCTTTAGCACTTTCGGTGATAATTATTAATATCACTGATGAAAGGGCTTGTTTTCTAGTTGACTTTCTTTTATATTATTATGTGCATACAGTTTATCAATAAATTGATTGAGCATATTTAATTTATGTTACAGTAATTACAGATGTTTTTACTTAAATCAGCAACTGTGACTTTTTTTTTTAATTTTTTTTTTAAAGTGTGCTGAATGCTGATGTATTTGGTCTCAGGGAGAGAGCTTCTATAATCCATATATTCCTGGGGTTTTGGAGAAACTGGATAATTTAGGACTGGTTGAAGAGAGTGATGGTGCACGTGTGGTTTTTGTTGAGGGTGTAAACATACCACTTATTGTTGTAAAAAGAGATGGTGGCTACAACTATTTTACAACTGATCTAGCATCACTTTGGTTAGTTTTACTCTCAGTTTTTACAGATAAACTTTGAAAAACACTGTTTTTGTTGCTGGCTCACTTGAGTGCCAAATTTGTTATCAATTAGTAAGTCAAATTTATTTATATCGGATGTTTATATACTCTGCCTTAAATGTAAAATTTGGGATACCTTTTTTTTTGTTATTTGTCTGCATTTTATTTGAGCATGGAATACAAAAAATGAGGAAAACAGACTGTTCTGTTTATCTGAACTACTTGAACCATGTAGGTATCGTCTAAATGAAGAAAAACTTGAGTGGATTGTATATGTTACAGATATTGGGCAGCAGCAACACTTTGATATGCTATTTAAGGTATATCTCACATGATGATTTTTATGGTATCTTATGGTTACTGCATTATATTGTTCTCATAACCCTTTTTCTACCGGTTTTTGCCAGTAGCAATGTGTCCTTGTACAGTTGCACCTTGCGTATTGACTTGTCTGTGTTGTGCTGATAATTATGTCCAAAAAGGCAAAAATGCTTTTTTTTTTAATCAGTCATTTCATATTATTTTTTCAATTTTTAAAAGAGAAAGTCATGGACTATGCTATATAACTTGTGCTGCTGCCAATATTCCAATGAATTAAAATGTTTAAGTTCCCCTTTTAATTTTCCTTTTCAGGCCTATAGGCGTGCAGGTTGGTTACCAAAGGATGAGAATGCATATCCAAAATGTACTCATATAGGTTTTGGTCTTGTTCTTGGGGAAGATGGAAAACGATTTCGGAGTCGCAGCAGTGAGGTTGTTCGATTGGTTGATTTACTTGATGAAGCTAAAAGGCGCTGTAAAACTGCCATTCTTGAACGTGGTAAAACACCTATGCTCATTTTACCTCTTCCTTATCTCCATGCAAGCATCCATGGAAGAAATTTCTGCTTGATTAAGATTTATTAATGCAGGTGCCTATTTTAAATTTCTTTTATGAGATTCTAAGCACTAGACAGTTAATTTTCTGGACCCTATGTTCATTTAGATACAGCTAAAGATTGGTCTGAGGAGGAGATTGAGAACACAACCGAGGCTATTGGCTACGGGGCTGTTAAGTAAGCTCCTTTAATTCAATATTTTCCCCCTACTTTTAAGCAAAACCAACATTCTGTCCTAAGTTGTAGTTTGCTTCTTTGTGGGCATATTCTTTTTTGTTAATGTAGATAGGTGATTTGGCTAACAAATTCATTCTTACAATTTTTTAAATATTGTATTCTTTTTTGCAGCATAGTTTTACTTTGACTTGATATACTTTCACTTACAGTTTGCTTAAGCCGTTATGCCTGTTTTGGTAACACTAATTGAGTTGTAGGCCTTTATTGTAGCTCGTTATATTCATGTCTATTTGTGTTTGCAGGTATGCTGACTTGAAGATCAACAGATTAACAAATTACACATTCAACTTTGATCAGATGCTAAATGATAAGGTGCATTCACTGTGTGCAAATTTTGATTGTACGATAGTGAGGTTCCACTGTTCCAGTAAAGAAGCTGGTACAGACCATTATCTGTGGGCCCTGTCCTGCCTTTTGCTTTTCCCCTTTACAAATATCCTCTGAAGTATTGGATATCTTCCAAGAGTAGTCTTTGGTTTATAACCATGGATGGAAATATCACTGTTTTTGATTTTGACAAAATACAAGAACATAGTATTTAATAAACCATTGATACTACACTTATAACTGTTTGCTCCTTACTGACAATTGCTGCAAAATAGCTAAAGAAGATATGCCTGTGGATCTCACGTTGGCAATTATTGATCTCATTCCCAACAAAACTAACTGATCTGAAGGTATTTATGTCTCACCTTCCTAAGCTTGTTGTGAAACAGGGGAATACTGCTGTTTATTTGCAGTATGCACATGCTAGAATCTGTTCCATTATCCGCAAATCTGGTAAAGACATAGAAGAAATAAAGAGAGTAAGTTTACTTTCATTTTTTTTCCCTAGGATGACGACTTACTGGTTTATTAAATGTTTGTTCTTAAAAATAATAATATTGCATTTAACCATTTTTGTATCATATGCTTAATTTTACCATATAAGATACAAGAGTTTATGTCTATCTTTACAATCTACGATGGTTGGCTTGAATCTTGATGCGAGTAAATTCAGAACTAATCCTTTATAAATGTGATACGACTCAGTGATACATGTGTTTATAGGTCGTCAGTCAGTCAACTAAATGTTGACTAGTGCACATTTCTTATTGTCTATTTCATTTTTATCAACTTTTTGACAGAATGGGAAAGTAGTGTTGGATCATGAAGACGAACGTGCATTGGGGCTTCATTTGTTACAATTTCCCGAGGTAGGATATGCAACTGGTATATGTTCTTGAGCTTTAGACATTGTCACCGGGGCTCCATTGTGACTAGATTATGTGTACTGTTTTATTTTTCAGGTTTTTGAGGAGGCATGCACCAATTTGTTGCCCAATTTGTTGTGTGAATACCTTTACAATTTGGCAGAAATCTTTTCAAAAAAGTTTTACTCTAATTGTCAGGTATACCTCTAAAGCCATTAACTTGTGCAATATATTTACATTTCTATGCTTTTCCCATTCCCATTTCCTAGTAACGAGTTATACATAAAGCTGCCAAGAAGACTTGTTATATTTATCTTGACACGTTAAAAATAAGGTACTATTTATCCTACAGAATAGCGAGGTGCATAAGGTTCGGTGAAAGAATAATGTTTAGATTGAGGCAATCTAACTCAACTTCTTACCCTTGGCAGGTTGTCGGGTCGCCTGAGGAAACTAGTAGACTTTTGCTGTGCGAAGCAACGGCAGTTGTGATGAGAAAGTGCTTTTATCTCCTTGGAATTGTACCTGTTTACAAGCTATGACCATCCGGAGGAGTTGAAATGCAAATTTCTTCGTCAGAATTTTTTGGGATACACCATACACGAGTGTAGGAAACTTAGCAATGAAAATTGTTCAGGCAAATTCAACCACCTCTTCCATTTTGTTAACTGTATGAATTGTAAGAATGAAAGTAAATATGTTATAGCAATATTGTTGACAAGGTCCCTTTGGTAATTTATTTTGATAAGATAATGTTATATTTCATTAGACTTGGTAAAAAATCAAAGCTTCAGGAGTAACAAGAAAATAGACGTTATGGGTTCCATAGTACATTTGTACTGCAGAAAAATCCAACCATACTGGTCATTGTGCACTCTCAATCTCAAAAGTTACTGGACTTTATTTATTGTTTGGAATTATGTTTTAGGCACACGAGTGCTTTCTTTCTTACTTTTTCCCTTTATTATTTATTTCCTTGTCAAAAAAAGGAAGACATTCTACAATATACCTCCACCCTTGAAAAAAAGGAAGACATTCTTTCTTACCTTTTCTTTTTCCAGTAAATGAAGATATAATCTAGGATTTCATGTAATTATCCAAAAACTTCTGTAATCAAGTTGACTCTAGTACTTTAATGTGCCACTTTTATCCCTGGCAAAGGAAGACAACCTTGCAATTAAATTGTTATATGTTTGAGCAGATACTGGGAAAGAATTCTTCCAAGTGAATCCACTAATGGAGTTGGGAAATTTTGGTTTAGTTGGTTAAATACGAAGATAAAATAATCATTTTTAAATTTAATATTTTAAACTGAATCAATAATCAAAGATACACACTGTAAAATTATTCACAATAGTTGAGTTTGATTTGAATTCAAATTCACTAGTTATTGATTTTAACTAGAAAATATTACATCTTACTTGAGCCATGATGTAAACAAATTTTTTTACTCGGTTTTTTAGAATAAAATAAAATATAAGAAAATTGATTGTGAATAGTTAAAAATTGAAGAACAAAAAAAGTTAGGGGCTTAAAAGAATTTTTTTTTTCTCTTTTGATTTTTTGTTTAATTTTTATTCCTCCCTCAGGGCTTAGAAGGGTGTTATACACAATTAGCTGCCTTTTTGCAACATAAAATAATATACAAAGTTAGGCGAAAGACAAACGTGTGGAAGTAATCGTTTTAAATTCATGTATTCTTTAAAGATCAACTTATAATATCATGTTACATGATTTCTAAGCAATGGATGAAATAACAAAACATGTTCATATAACAAACTATTAGTCTCATTACTGATAATCTATTTATAAAATGCTTACATCATTTTCAAGAAACTGAAACAAGTAGTGACAACAACCAAGAAGCTCCTATTATAAAATTTTCATTTTATTAAACGCCTATAATGGATTTAACAATTACACTAGAACGAGTTATGTTAAAAAAAATGTGTATTTATTTTGATACTAAAATTTTCGGTTGGTGAAAAATACACACTAAGATGTGAAATGGTTTTTTTTTATAAAAAAAAACTCTCATCCTTACTTTGTGTATCTCCCTCCTAAGAGTAAAATTTCAGCACCAAAAAGAATTCACACAACCAAATAAACTCACATAGTAATATGTTGAAGATTGATTACCCTATTAAAAGTTAGGAAGGTCCATGACCCTCTTGATTAAGGTAGCTCCACCCTTGTGTAAATATAAATAAATAAATATATATATATATATATAT